TCACGGTTTGGATGTGAGGTGTCCCCAAAAGGCAAAAGACAAGCAAGAAGGTTCAGAGGAGAAATGGGGGTGGTAAGGGTCTCAGTCCTGGTAGGGGGTGAGTGGGTGGTGGCTGGAGGAGGGGGCACTGGGTGCGGCTTTGGGGTCTGTATCTGTATCTGGACAGTGGAGTCTGTTTCCTGATCATCGTGGGAGCTGCTTCCCTGGGCACAGTCCCCACCGCGATGTTCAGCCTCCCCTGGAGCCCTGAGGAACGCGGCCGGCCTTCCATGGCTCACACCTCTGGAACCCTGGACCCACATGAACTCCCCTCCCTGCGGTTGATCTGTTCGGATCTTTTAGTTGCAGCAGCGAAAAAGCTAAGTCACCTCCCAAGCTCTGCCAAACGCACTGAGGAAGCGAGGACACTTCCTAGCTCCATCTGAGGCCAGCATCTGCCTGTCACCAAGCCCAGCTACAGACACCCCAATCCCTACAGCCTGCGGGAAACCTCTGGCACACTGCAGTGGGCAGCACCGCATCAGGGGCACTTGCCGTAAGCATCGAGGTCCACCCTGGAGCTCCAGGACGGGTCAGCAGGCTAGACCATCTGCAGATGGAGGGCGGATCAGGGCATCCACGGTGCAGAGAACCCACATTCACCACGGCCAGCCAGGAGGGGACACAAGCCACTCAGTGCCACCTGAGCCGCTGTGGAAAACCCACAGCAGGCTCCTCACTCAGGGGCGCAGGCCGTGGACCCCGAGGCCAGGGGTAGGACAAGCACCTGCTCCTCCCACTTCCATGCCAGCAGCAGGGTCCTAACTCAAGGCAAGAAGAAGCAGAGGAACGATACAAGGGGAAAGGAAGAAGGGATACCCTGCTGGCCCATGACAGGGCCTTCATACAGGATATCCTAAGGTCTCATGACAGGTCTCGAGAGCTATCAGGGCTCAGCATGTGGCAGGTCATAGTCGAACACAAAATGATGGCATCTCTCCAGGAGGACGAGGTGCGACTTGCAGAGGCTAGGACACAATGCATCTGCAGTGACATCACCAAGAACAAAATGCCAGCCCTGAGCGAGGGGAGAACTGACCCCAGAAAAGAGAGAGAGAAGACTCAAGTCACTAGGTCAAAGGCAAAATGGGGACGTTACTGAAGGGCTCTAAACCACCTGCAGAGGTGTGCACACCTGTAGCATGACCACCCACACCAGCTGACTGGTGTGTGCAGAGGGGACGGCTGCTCTCAGCTCATGGCCAGATACAGAACCAACCAGGGCTGACGGACAGAAGCCGGGAAGCCTGGTGCTGGACCCAGAGCTGTCCTTAAGAAGGAGGGACTGCCACATTGTGGCCACCGGGTGAGCCTGGAGGACCGCAGACAAGTGAAACAGGTCACAGGAAGAAAACGCTGCATGATCTCCCGCGTGTGGAAACCAGCACAGCCTGGCTGTGCAGTGCGAAGGTGGTGCCGGGGCTGGGAGGGGAGGAAGGGGAGACGTCCCTCAAAGGGCCGAGAGCTGCCTGAGAATGTGTTCTGGGGGCCAGCGCCCAGCACTGTGGCCCAAGCCAGCAACACTGGACTGCGCTCAGGTGAGCTCTGCTCTAAGTGCCTGCTGATGCGGGAGGAGTGAAGTGTGCACGCGCAGCCAGCTGGCGCGGGTGGCCATGCCGCCAGGTGTGCACACCTGGGGTCCGTGCTGCAGTCACACGGGTTCCCGGCCCTCTGGACCATCTGGGTCCTGCCTGGGCCTGGACACCGGGCAGAATGAGCTGTGCAAGGCTCGTGATCTTGAAGGGGCGGGAATCCGTGCAGGGCTCAGCCAGCATCATACGAAAAATATTTGTAGGTTGCCAGGAGCAAGAGGTAAGCACTTGGGCATTTCCCAGGGAGGTGGTCTTGTCTCCTCCTTGAATCAAGTTAAACAGAAACCTCGAGCTAACTGAAGCGTCCTAAAGCATAGCAATGTTTACTAAGATCTGCATCTAACCAGAGGCCCTGGATGTGGACGCCCTATGGCCCAGAAGCCTGGGAGCTCCTGGCAGAGGGGCAGGGACTGCTGTCCTGGGCCAGCACAAGGAGCCTCCCAGGGACCCGAAGGCCCTCCCCTGCCTCCACATGTCCCACAGGTGCCACTGGGGCACTTCTGAGAGAAGCCAGAGATGCTTGCAGCCCAGCGTGTCCAGCAGGAGCCCCCAAAGTGCCAAGAGCCCCAGGCAGGCGCAGGGAGCCCATCTCCCTGCGCCCCTCCCTCTCAGGCGAACAGGGAGCACACCAGCTTACAGGACCCAGCGGCTACCCCGGCCTCGGCTTCCCTCCCAGGCCAGCGGGGTTTAGAGGCAGCAGGAGAGGTGTGGAGCACGGCCCAGCACCCAGCGCCATGGCCCTGGACCCACCACTCACACTCATTGCTCAGCAGCCTCCACGGAGCCGGGGCTTCTTGGAGGCAGGGCAGGCCCACTGTTGACTCTCAGCAGCTGCAGGAGTCCCAAAGCAGCAACCGGCTCTACCCAGCAGGGCCTCACTTCCGTTCCCCAGGGCCTGAGGGACAGGCCCCAGACACAGCAAGCTCCTGAAGAGTCCCCAGTTGGGAACTGACTGCCAGCTCCAGCAGGGGTCCTACAGGGTGACCCCCTTCCCCAAGTCCAGCCAGGTGCTGCCCTGTCCCCACACACCTTGCACCAGTCCATCCCCTCGCATCTCTTGGGAGGGCTAAGGAAGAGATGGGGACAGGTTAAAAGCCCAGCTGGACCCATGAGTACAGAGACCTCAGGTGGTGTGTAGGTGTGAGGGTAGTGTGCAAGGCCAGGTGTGCAGGGAGGCCCTGCTGGCTCTAGGTAGGCCCTGGGGAGGAGGCAGCAGGCCTGGGCCTCCCCCCACTGCAGGGGCTCACTTTCCCCAACCCCCCAGGCCTCAGATGCAGCCGAGACCTGCCAGCTCCGAGTCAGTCACTTCCTGATGCCAGGACCAGAGCCCAGCACGCCCCCCAGGACCTCAGCACCACCGAGGGACCTGGCACCAGCGTGGGGAGGGCTGAGTCCCTGTCTGGGTCCCCCACCCATCCTTTCCTGTCCCACCATGGCCTTGTGCTTCTGCACCCGCCTCCCACTGGAGTATGAGTGTCCAGCCCAACAGGGGCCAGCAGGCATGGGGGCACACTCCAGGGCAAAGGAGACTGGGGAGGGGGTGAGTGACCAGGACAGGGAGGACCCTCCCTGCCCCTGCCCAGTCTCCCAGCCAGGCCTGCGAAGGGCTCCTGGAATAATGACACTGCCACCCACCTCTGGCCTGAGGAGCTGTGGGCCAATTATGGGGTGGGAAGGGTCCCCCAGGACCCGTCTGGGGACACAGCCAGTACGTCCAGATGTCCTACCAGCTTACTGCAGTGAGATGCTGTGATGAGGACGGCCTGAGCTGCCCTGGCCATGTTGCAAGGACTGACCCCCGCCAGAGGAGAGGGGGTCTTCACTAACACCCGGCAGGAGCAGGGCTTGCCCACGGCTTTTGGGCTACATCCAAAACAGATGGGAACAGGTGGGCCAGGCCCTTCCCCTGCCCTTGGCAGCGCCCACCCCACCCCCACCGTCTCTTCGGGCCTGGATGGGCAACTTCCCACAAGGCCTCCTGCCAGACGCCTCCCTGGGGCCCACCCTGACCAGCACAGCTGGGGGCTCAGAGCCAGGCAGCTCAGCCAGCTGTGGCCTGTGGGGGCCGCAGCCAGAGCTGGCTCCCCGTGGGGGGCTAAGGGACATGGCCACTACTGCGGCTCCAGCTGCCCTCTGATAAAATCTAGGCTGACCCTGGAGTGGCCCTGCTTGGTCCCTAATGCAGATAAGGCCCCTGGCTTCTGCACACCAGGCCCCCCTGAGCAGGCCCTGCGCCCCACCCCTCCACATCCACCACCCCTCTCGTTCACAGCCACCAGGCAGGAGCCACGGGGCCCCCAGAGCCACCTCCACTGCCTGCCTGTCCCCGGCAGTCCTGCCCCTCGCGTGCTTCTCTCCTGGGCTTGGGCACTGACCATCATCGGCATCTGGCACTGCCTGGCCTGTGGCCCTCCTCGGTGCACCCCAGACCTGCCTGGCGTCCACAGGGACCTCTGCTGAGCAAACTGGGCCCTGAGAATGCTGGGATGTACCCAAGCTCGCCCCCCATGGAGCAGCAGCGGGCGTCCACACAAAACCCCAACCTCAGACACCCAGCTCAGGTCCAGCCTGGCTGCCCAGTTTCAAAGGCCAGCAACGAGGGTCAAGGCTGCTTCCCCATGGAGAGGACAGAACACCCACGCTCTGTACAGTGGCCAAGGTCACCGGGCACCAACTGCCGCTGAGGAGCTGGGACTGGGAGGGGCCAGCGGCGGGGCCTGTCATGACTGCCCTGTGCTGGGGTCGGAGAGCCTGCCTGTTCCTTCCTCTGCCCTCGCCTCTGCCCTGCCCAGCCAGCAACAGTGGCAGGCCGTGAGTGACGGGCCTCTGTGGGTGGGGACACTGCCACCAAGACAGGCAGGCTGCTTGTTCAGAAGCTAGACAGGCTGGGCTGAGTGACCGCCCAGTGTGCACAGCAGGCCGGGCCTCAGTGGGCCCCGGTGTGGCCCAGACCTGCCAAGTCCATCCCTGCAGCCCACTCAGCAGAGCTGGCTGAGCGCCCAGGGTCAACTTGGGACCGTGCAGCCTGATGCCCAGGAGCAAGGACAGAACCCCCCAAACTGGTAGGAGTTCTGCTCCCTTGGTCAAGTCACGTCACTGCTCCACACCTGTCTCCCAGGGCCACCTCAGACCACGGTGAGAACTGAACACACTGAAATGTGGGGGACACTGGCCCTGATGACACCCCAACGCACTGCAACAGGGCCCCTGTGGTCACATCCACCCCCTGGCCCTGCCCAGACCCAGGACCTCTGCTCAGGGCACCATGCCCCAGCCTCCCCCTCCCCAGCTGCTGCTAATGGGCGCCCACGTTGGGCACCCCCCGCAAGGCTCCAAGGAGAGTGGGGGGTCCAGAAGCCGGCCAGTTACCTGCAGCTGGCCCAATGAACACACAGTGCCCGTCCTCCTGGGCAGGGAGCAAGGCACAGGCAACCGGCAGCCGGCCCCCATCCAGGCGACTCCAGCACGCATCCTGCAGAGCCTCACAGAACTGGCGGCAGGGCGGCAGGGCGGGCGGGGGGCCCTGGCCACAGGGCGGGGCCAGCAGCAGGCAGAAGAACCAGGTGAGGAAGGGGTGGCAGCGTGTTTGGAGGAGGCCCCCCCACGCCCGCGCAGCGGCCTGCACCTCCTCGCCGCTCTCATGGTGGAGATGGTTGGGCAGCCAGGAGCGCCCTAGGCCCAGGTGGCCGCAGATGGGCAGGGTGGGCGGCAGGGGCAGGCAGCGGCCAGTGGGAGTCGGAGGGCCAGCCCCGAGCAGTGCAGAGTTATTAGCGAGACCAGGCCCCGCAGAATCAGCCACGTGGGAAACCCAAGCACCACGGTTCCCCATTAAAGCTGCCACAGGGTGTGCGGAAAGAGCAGGGAGTTCACCGTGCGCACCAGGAGGACCCGTCACCAGGGGAAGCAGGAGAGGCGAGCCAAACGCAGGGCGTCCGTGGGGCTGGCTGGGACCAGCTGCTGCAGGCAAGTGTCCTTTCCCATTCAGATGCTGGACCCTCCCTGGGGACATCTGGCTTCCCCAGGGAGGGTCCCTGCCCAGCACGGAGGAGAGAGGAGCTCTACCTGGGGACTCCCGTGGCACCGAGTGCCCCCTCAGTGGTGCCTGGAGCCTGTCCAGGGAGGGAGGCGACTGGGTGGGCACAGCCAGAGTGCCAGACTCGGCCGTCCAGGTGCCCAGAGAGCTCAGAGCTCCTCTGTGAGGCCCGAGAGTGGTCCCGCTCTCCTCGGGCGGGCCGGAGGGCCCCGTGAGGGCCAGAGGGTCCGTGGGGGCCGAGGCGGATCCAGCAGAGCTCTGGGTAGGGGTGGCCTCGTTCCACAGCTGGACGATGCTCTGGATGCCCTGGGCTATGCTCAGGATCTTGGCTCCCACTCCCGCGACGTTCTCCTCCCTCGTGTCCGGGCTTGCAGCTGGGGCGGCGGGGGCGGTGGCACTGATGGGAGCGCCAGGAGCCCTGCTTGGGGCGGCCTTCGGATTCTCCAAGGGTGGCCTGGGGCTGGCAGGGGCCGTCCTTTGCTCCGCGGAGTCATCCTGGGGGGCCACACGTGTGGCGGGGGCCGCTGCAGGCTGCACGGGCAGGCTGCCCTGGGGCTGGGAGACCAGTGTGTCTTTGGAGTCGGCGATGTCGGTGGACCACAGCCAGTCCAGGGTCAGCAGGTTGGCCCAGGAGGGCACAAGGCAGCAGGTGAGCAGCAGCAGCAGCAGCCGGCCAAGGCGTCTGCTGGGGTGCGGGGCCATCAGGGCTGTGAGCGCCGGCAGGAGCAGGGGCGTCTTCTGCCACCGGGAGGAGGAGCCAGCCGGCCCGCCCTTCCGCCTCCCCACCCTCTCCAGCCTCCTGGGGAAGTCCCTTCTTCCACACTTTACTCCCATAGGACAAAAAGGCCCAAACCCGGGAGTCAAGGTGACCTGTGCCCTTGGATTCACCTTAACCCCTTCCTTCCCACAGAAGCAGGACAGAGGGACATTCTGAAGACGCCCAGCAGAATTCCCAACTTGCTCTAGAGTCTTTGCCTGGGGAGTGTGTAGGCGTGGGGGCCTCAGGCCAGGACTCCCAGCCCCTGGGGACACTGAGGCAGCCGCAGTCCCCCTCACCCTGCAGCAAACCACACCCAGAAGTCCTGGCCCCCAGCCACGGCTGCTTGTGGTAAACTTGGAACTTGAAAACCGTTCAACTTGCTGCAATTCCTCTCTGTTGCAACTGCTGCCTCCCAGGGGCGAAACATGGAGGCCGGGGAGGGAGTGGCCCCTGAGGCCATTGCCTGGACCTCCACCCACCCCAGGCCCCTCCACCTCCCTGCAGGCCTGGGTGGACACTGCTTTCCTGCTTCATGTTTAACCCTGCATCGGAAGTCCCCTCCCCACCCAGGGGAAAGCAGCCCCTTCTCCCCGACCCCAGGGTTCTCCTGGGCACCCAGGTCCCACAGGCGTGTCCACGCTAATGCAGCATCAGTGGGGATCACTGTGACGGCAAAGGGACATTAGGGGTTTGTTGGGATCCAAGGGACCATCGACAGACAGCAGGCTCCCTGGCACACAGGCACGGCACTGTCCAGTAGCCTGTGGGATACCTCAATCCCTTGAGTCCCCTGAGATGGGCAGGTGGGCAGGTACTGACCACAGCCTGCATGCCAGCCCAGGGGCTGCCTCAGCTGGTGGCCCTGAGGCCCTGGCCCCCACCATCTCAGCTCCATATGGTCACCGGGCAGCCCTCAGGACAGCGTTCTGGGTGGGGCCAGTCCTGGGGCACTGCCACTGGTCCAGCAAGGGAGCTCTCCAGGCCCACAGTCTGGGGCCACACGGAGTCCTGCCCTGGCTTCCTTCCCCCAGCCTCAGGTGGCATCTCCTGACACCCAGAGGCCTAGAGGTGCTGCACGTGCTGGCTGCGTCTCCTCCGGGGGCGCAGAAGGCTCTGTGGCTCAGGCAGTCACACTCCCATGTCCGCCGTCACTCTCCCCATGTGGCAGGGCCAGTCCTGCCTGCACACTCCATGGAGGAGACCGGAATGGCCCACCCAGTACCCACCCTCTGTGCTGATGTCCAGTGCCTACCTGCCTGGGCCACCAGCCCTGCAGCAGCAGGAGGCTGGGGGGAGGGGTGGACCAGCCCGACACCTGGCCCCCGTGACAGCACGGCCTTTGGTAAAGCCAGACTTGAGGCAGGCTAGGCTGCTGTCACCTTAAAATGAGGAAACTGAGGACCCAAGGGACGAGGCAGCCCAGGAGGGTCAGGAGCTGAGCTGTGTTTGGCCAGCACCATTCTGCAGGCCCCTCCTCTGTGCCCGGCTCCACCTCATGGTGTGGGCCAAAAGTGCCCGAGTGAGCCCACGTCAGCCCAGGTGAGCCATGAGGATCACATCAGCCCAGGCGAGCCCACGTCAGCCAGGTGAGCCATGAGGATCATGTCAGCCCAGGTGAGCCATGAGGATCACGTCAGCCCAGGTGAGCCATGAGGATCATGTCAGCCCAGGCGAGCCCACGTCAGCCCAGGTGAGCCATGAGGATCATGTCAGCCCAGGTGAGCCATGAGGATCACGTCAGCCCAGGTGAGCCCACGTCAGCCCAGGTGAGCCATGAGGATCACGTCAGCCCAGGCGAGCCCACGTCAGCCCAGGTGAGCCATGAGGATCATGTCAGCCCAGGTGAGCCCACGTCAGCCCAGGTGAGCCATGAGGATCACGTCAGCCCAGGCGAGCCCACGTCAGCCAGGTGAGCCATGAGGATCATGTCAGCCCAGGTGAGCCATGAGGATCATGTCAGCCCAGGTGAGCCCACGTCAGCCCAGGTGAGCCGTGAGGATCATGTCAGCCCAGGTGAGCCATGAGGATCATGTCAGCCCAGGTGAGCCCACGTCAGCCCAAGGCTGCAGCGGTGGGTAGACAGCACCCACAGGGTGCAACGGCCTCACCGGTTCCTGGCTCCTCAGTACTTCAGGGACACCACAGAGTGGCCAGAAAGCAGCAGCTGGGGTGGATGTTTTGCAGGAGGGGCTGGTGCTGAGATTCTGCCAGTGTGGTGCTCTTCCACCCGACCAGCCTCCTCTGTGATATGCAGCCACTCCAGGCGAGGGCAGGAGGCCAGGCCCCACGGCCCTGGGTGCTGGTGGGAATGGATCCTCGAGAGGAGGGGCACAGCCCACTGGGACCAGCTCCCTCAGTGCCTCGCCCCGTGTCTGTGATATCAGCAGCTCTGAGCACAGAGGACCGCGGCATAGGGACCCTCCAAGTGCTAAAGGTGCTTCCCCAGAAGCCCACCCACCCTGGCCAGCAGGCAGGCTGTGGGAACATGGGCTTTTGCAAGGAAACCAAGAGTTGCTCACTTTGAGGTTTAAATAATAAGTCTGAGAAGCCAAGACCAGCTGAGATGATCCAGCAGTTGGAAGTGCTGGCGCGTCCGTGAAGTCCTGCGTCACCGATGGGAACCTCTGTAGGAACGAAGCCAGGGACCGGCTGGCGCAGAGGCTGCTCCTCCCTACTCAGTCTCGCTGCACGACTGCCCCTGGCCCAACGGTCACGCTGCCTCACCCCGAGGGCTGGGGCAGGTGGGCTCCCCAGACGGAGCCCGGGGCAGTGGGGCGAGGGCACAGACCTGGGGTGCTGGGACTGCTCCCGGGACCCTGGCAGTACAGATTCGGGGCTCAGGTGAGCCCACACCTGTGCACCCATTTCCTCCTGGAGCAGGCTGACCCTGTACCCAAGATGTGACGACCCCGCCCTTCAACCGTCACTTCCCTGCTGGACACCATGCCAGGCCGGTGCTCAGGTCTCCTCTGGGTCCTCAGAGCCTGGGCCACACCCTCAGAGAGTGACCCCCCAGAGAGAGAGGGACCCGTGCCCGAGCCCCAGTCCAAGTCAGGACAGAGGGCAGCATGGCAAGGAGTGGCCTGCCTGGGCTCCTGGGCTGAAGCCTGGGTTCAGTCAGAGGCCTGGGAATGAGACCAGAGCACTGCAGAGCAGACAGACAGGCTGCTGTCCACGGCCAGCAAGCAGGACGTGGCAGGCATGCACCAGGACGAGCCCAGGAGGACGAGAGGCCACTGCCAGGCCCGCCGCGCTGGGCACTGTTCGCACCAGCTGGCCGGTACCCTGCAGAGCGCTGCATGGCCTTCTGCAGACGAGGAGACCGAGGCACAGAGGCCAGGAGGAGGCAGAGCCAAGACAGCACCAGGCAGCGAACACACATGTGCGCACACACGCTCACAGGAAGTCACGCCCACACACTCACACACACGCTCACAGGGCAGTCACGCCCACACGCTCACACACACGCTCACAGGAAGTCACGCCCACACACTCACACACACGCTCACAGGGCAGTCACGCCCACACGCTCACACACACGCTCACAGGGCAGTCACGCCCACACGCTCACAGGAAGTCACGCCCACACACTCACACACACGCTCACAGGGCAGTCACGCCCACACGCTCACACACACGCTCACAGGGCAGTCACGCCCACACGCTCACAGGAAGTCACGCCCACACACTCACACACACGCTCACAGGGCAGTCACGCCCACACGCTCACACACACGCTCACAGGAAGTCACACCCACACGCTCACAGGAAGTCACGCCCACACGCTCACACACACGCTCACAGGGAGTCACGCCCACACGCTCACACACACGCTCACAGGGAGTCACGCCCACACACTCACAGGAAGTCACGCCCACACGCTCACACACATGCTCACAGGGAGTCACGCCCACACGCTCACACACGCTCACAGGGAGTCACGCCCACACGCTCACACACGCTCACAGGGCAGTCACGCCCACACGCTCACACACACGCTCACAGGAAGTCACGCCCACACACTCACAGGAAGTCACGCCCACACACTCACACACACGCTCACAGGGAGTCACGCCCACACGCTCACACACACGCTCACAGGAAGTCACGCCCACACGCTCACGGGGTAGTCATGCACACACGCTCACACACTCACGGGGTAGTCACGCACACACGCTCACGGGGTAGTCATGCACACACGCTCACACACACACTCATGGGGTAGTCACGCACACACGCTCACACACTCAGACACAGGCTCAGATGTGATCACAAGGGCACCCTGGCAGCCCACCCACATGCTCACATGTAACCACACGGGTCCATGCACACTCATGCTACACCCCTGGTGCTCTGCCCACCAGTGGTGCCCTCTGCCTGAGTCCCCCTTGCCCATCTTTGCAGGCCATGTGCTAGAGGTCACCGCCACCCTCCCCAGGCCCTGCCATGCTGCAGGGTAGTCATCAATCGATGGCGTCCAAAGGGCAGGGCTGCTTGTTTGAGATCAGAACTCAGTTTCAAACAGCTGACCGCTCTGTCCCTCTCGAGGCAGGGGCACCATATGCAAACATCTGCCTCAGCAAGGCCTTGTTCCCAAAATTAATCCCCATGACGCTCGGGGGTGTCTAGGAAGTGCCCAGAGAAGTCTCTTCACTTGAAAACCCACTGCGCTAATGTGATTTTACGCCTCCTACTGTCTCTGGGAAATCTCAGAACAGAAACCCCAGAGGCCCTTCCCTGGCACGTATGCACAGGGGACTCGGGCCAGCTTGAGGGGCCCTGGACTCATGTCAGGGGTGCCCCGTCCAGCCCCACCTCTGTCCAGATGGCTCTGGTGCTCAGACGGCTCTCCTGGGGCCGCTGACAGCTGGGCCCTGCGTCATGTGCTCAGCACTGAATACCTGGGCAGAGCCAGGCATGGGAAACCAACCTCGGGGCTGCACCCAGGACAGCAGCTGCCCCCACAC